AAACAGCGTTTCGCTCGAGACATCATCGGAAAACGCTTCTTGGGCGCTTCTTGGCCGTCTTAGGCGCCTAAGACAGCCCGAGAAGCGGCCAAGACGGCGCCCAAGACGGCCCAAGACGGCCCAAGAAGCGCCCAGGACGGCCCAAGAGCGCTCCAAGAGAGCCCAAGACCGCCCAAGGCGGCCCCAAGACGTCCCAAGAGGCCTCCACGACGCCCCAGGAGGCGCCCACGAGGCGTCCCAAGAGGGCCCCAAAGAGGCCAAAATCATTGATTTTCTTTAGGGAAACTTGCATTCGTAGCATATACGGTTTTTCGCCTTTCATGGCGTTGAAAACGGTCCAAGAGGCCCCCAAGACCGCCCCAAAACGGCCCAAAATGTTCCCAAGAGGCCCCCAAAATAGCCCAAGAGGGCGCCAAGACAGGCCAAGAGGCGCCCAAGACTGTCCAAGAGGCCCCCAAGAGCGCCCCAAGAAGGCCCAAGAGGCCCCCAAGAAGGCCCCAAAACGGCCTAAGAGGCGCCAGCACGGCCCAAGAGGCGCCAAGACGGCCCCAGGACGGCCCAAAGAAGGCCCCAACAGGCCCCCAAGAGAGGCCAAAGACGGCCAAAGGCAGCATAGTCCCTTCACCCCCGCAGCCCAGAAGCTCCCAGGAGACCCCAAGAGGCCCCCGAAAAGCCCCAAGAGGTCCCCAAGAGGCACCCAAGAGGCTCCCCAAGAGGCCCAAAATACTCCCAAAGGCTCTTTGCACCGCGGTTCCCAAGAGCGAGCGGTGACGTAATCGAGCTGATAAGACCAAAGCTCCCAACCGAGAGCTGCGACGTAATAAGTTCTTGACGCCAGGGCCCAGGGGCGGGCGGCAACGCGTGGACAACGAGCGGTCCACGCAAGGAAAACGCGGGGTTCTGGAAAGCTGGCAACCCAAACGCGGAAAACGCAACGCGACCCGACCGCCCCTTCCAAAACAAGAAACGCGCTCAAAGAAAGCTCCGCGACTCTCCGAGGCTGAGATAGGACAAGAGCGAGGGGAGGGGAGCCAATAAGAGGTGCAAGAGCGGACGAGCCAGCGATCTCGTGCGCTCTGAAAGTAAGTGCGCTTTCCGTCCCCGTGCCAAGCAGGTCCAATGGCCCCAGCGGGCGGCTGCCAAGCGGGCCAGCGCTGGCGGTTCGGCGACCGCGATGGCCCACCCCTGCTCGGCCTGCGGGCTGCCCCCCCGCCCGCCCCCAGTCCACGGCCCCGATGGAGATCATCGCGGCGCCGCGGCGCCCCTGGCCCACCTCGTCCTGCAAGCCGCGCCGGAGAGAGCGAACCTCTTACAAGGGCTGAGGGCCTGGCAAAAACTGGCCCCGGACGTCATGCTCCGCGCCTCGAACGTGACCCGGAGAAACTCCAATCTCGCGCCCCACTCCTGCGGGGTCAGCTCGACATCCTCAGGGCCACCGCGCGGCTCGGCCCAAGGGCCCCCCCTCCCCGCCCAAAAGGCGCTCGAGAACGGGCAGCTCCGGCCAGGCGATCGGCTGGGCTGCGCTCCATAAGTGGGCGCGCCCCCGCAGTTCCTGCGCGCGCGCCAGCCTCCCAGGGCGAGCTCTGGCACCGAGAGGAGGTGGCGCGTTTTGACGCACTTGGGCTCTGGGAGCCGCGTGGCTTTCGCGCAGAAGCCCACGCGCAGTCCCCAGACCAGCTGCTCCGCGGCGAATTCCTCCTCCTCCTCCACCTCCTCCTCCTCCTCCACCTCCTCCTCCTCCTCCCCCCGGCGGCGAACGAGGGGGAAATGAGAAGAGGCGGGCCCTTCTGAGAGGGCTCAGAAGTGCCCCAGCCTTCTCAAAGATTTCCAGAGCCTCCCCCAGCGACACGGGAAATTGTTCGAAAGGCGCGAGGGTTTCTGAAAAGTCCCGCCGCCTTTTGAAAAGGCCTTCTCCTGTTAATTTCCCCCCCTCGTTTGCCGCCGCCGATCATCGGCCATCTTCTCCTCGTTCGCCGCCTTTTCCCCCGTCAGCGCCGCGTGGCCACGTCGAGCTCGGCCCCGGACAGCCAGTGCCCGACCCCGACCATGGGGTTCGAGGGCCACGCCGTCGCCCATCGGACACTTGGAAGCAGAACTGATGGCGCCCTTCTGTCGCGGCTGCGGCGGTCGGCGCCGCTCGTGCTCCGCTTTGCCGGCCTAAACGAATGACATGCGTGCGCTCCCCCGGGCGACCCAGCCCAGCCGAACACGAACACCGCGTGGATGAGGACTACCCTTCCGCTGACGCCCACCGGCTCCCCATGGGGGGGGGGGCCGGCCTCGGGGGCGAGGTGGTGCCACTCGAAGGCGCGCGCGGGCCACGCCCCTCTTCGATGCCCTCTGCTGGGCTCCTGGGGTCTTCGCCTCCCGCCACAACGACAGGCGGGCGAGCCCCTTGCAGAGGGGCTCGTTCACCGACTGGTGGACCTCCTTCGGGGAGAAGGCGCTGGCCCCCTTCATGTCGTGGATCGGGCGCCCCTCTGCTGAAAGGGTCCGATGTGGGAGCATCTTTCTCGACCGCCGCCGAGTCCATCATAATGTCCGCCTCGTCATCCGACCCAGAGGACCACGCCGAAGCGCGAGTCCTTCCACGCCTTCTGGTTTACCTCGTCGGCATGGTCGACGGCTGAAGCATGGAACTTCTCCTTCACGCGGGTCCGAGGGGCGGTCCGGTGGGCGGGAATACCCATCTCCATCACGTTGAAGTAGGCGGCGTGTGCAAGGTCCAACGCCGCCTGCACCTCTGGCATCGGGGCTCCTTCTGGCGGGTCGCCGTGGCACTGCTCCCTGGCGGCCTTGAGCACCCGCGCCGCCTCGGCAGCGCCTCCAGCCGCACGTTGTAACCGATTGCCTCTCCTCACGGCCTCCTTCACGAGCTCGGTGCGGTAGTCGGAGTGGGCTGCGCACCAGTTGACGTAGGCGTGGCTTCCCGTTCCGCGGCCATTGACACGTTTCGCGGCCCCGTAGCGAGCCCCAGCTAAGGCCCAAATGCCAGGGTTCGCATGGTGTCGGTGCTTCGTCTCGGCACACCCCTCACACGTCTCCTCGCCCCATAGGGAGGTCCAACTAGGGCCCCAATGCCAGGGTTCGCACAACGTCGGTGCCTCATTCCGGCACGCTCCTGACGTTTCTTGGCCCCGTAGCGAGCTCCAGCTGAAGCCCACATTCCACGGTTCGCATTGCGTCGGTGCCTCATGGTCGCACACCCCTCACGCCTGTAGTGGCCCCATAGGGAGCTGCAGCTGAGGCCCATATGCCAGGGTTCGCATGGCAGCGGTGACTCACGTTCGTACACCCCTCTCGCAGTTAGTGGCCCGCGTCGGTGCTTCGTTTCAGCGAAGGCCCAGGTGCCATGGTTCGCATGGCGTCGGTGCTTCATGTCGGCACACACTTCACACGTTTCGTGGCCCCCAGAGGGAGCTCCAGCTAAGGCCCCAGTGCCAGGGCTCGCATGGCGTTGGTGCCTCGTGTCAGCATACCCCTCATACGCTTCGTGGCCCCATAGGGATCTCCAGCTAAGGCCCACATGCCAGGGTTCGCACGGCGTCGGTGCCTCATTTCGGCACACACACACACACCTCACGCGCTTCGAAGCCCCAGAAGGAGCTCCAGCTAAGGTCCACATGCCCAGGGTCGTATGGCGTCGAAGTCGATACTCACAACGACTGCACTCACAACTGCACATGATTGGTTCCTTCACCAAGTTGAGTACCGTCGATTTGTTCAAATTTAACACATCAAAATATCTCGCTGCAGCATGGGCCTCATTTTCGGATCGGCGCTGCTCCCGTCGTTCAGAATGACGCTCCCCCAAAGCGTGGGCCACGTTTCTGGATCCCACAGGTCCCACAGGTCTCGCAGACCCCACAGGTCCCACAGGACCCACACGTGTCGCCAGTCGTCCCACAAGTCCCACATGTACCACGGGTCTGACAGGCTCAACGGGTCCCGCAGGTCCCACAAGTGTCGCAAATCTCGCATGCCCCACAAGTCCCACAGGTCCCATAGGTCCCGCAGGTCCCAGAAGTGTCGCATGTCTCACATGTCCCACAGAGGTCCCCCAAGTCAATAGGTCCCGCCAGCCCCTCAAGTCTCGCAGGCTCGCAGGTCTCACAGGTCCCACGGGTCCCACAGGTCCCACAGGTTCCATGACTTCCATAAAATTCGAAGTTCCGACTGCGCATAACACAATGGGGTCTTTTGTGGAGTTCCAGATCGGCTATTACCCCCATCCACGGATAGAAAAAATCAGCGCACTGGGAGGGGATGGGAGAGGGACAGGATGTCAGATTTGGCGCGAGGGCACCTAGCTTGTCATCACCCCTCTTCTTCCTCTTGGTCCCCCTCGTCCTCGTCGTCCCCCCTCCTCAACTCCCCTGCCCCGTTTCATGTTCTCCCATCAATCAGCGCCACCAGGGACTTAACAGCAGTCTCAATAAGGGGCCACATGCGAACCCTACCCCTGCCCCCCACGATTTTTGAAGGGGAGGGTGGGGTTCGCTTCGCTCGGGAGCTCCAGAAGAGTGAATCCCACCCTCCCCCTCAGAACTCGTGGGGGGGGCAGGGGTAGGGTTCGCACGTGGCCCCCTGCTCAAGCATCATCCCCGCCAAACACCCAACCAGCAGCAGGGGGGCAGGAAGGGGGACGGGGTGAGGTGGAGGAAGGAAAGGGGCAGCATCCTCGAGCCAGCACGCACAGCGCGCGCCCGGAACGCACCGTGCGCAAGGCCTAATCTTCGGTCGGGCATGTACCCCCACAGGGGGATTTTGGGCGAAAATTAAAACATAGTCAAAACATGCCCCCAAATACTAAAACAATCATCGAAACATCGTCCCCAGACTGTTTTTTGTCAAAACTATTTTTGAATATTCGTCCTGTAGACGGACGTGCCGACTTAATTCTACTATGTTGGGGCAATGCTGGACCTCTGTCAGAGCCCTTTCCCGAAGCGCTCCTCCAGAGTCGGAAAGTTCGGGGGGTCCACCGAGGTGGCGTCAGCCTCATGGATCTCCTGCGCCCGCGCACCGCAAGGCTCGGGGCACACGCTGGAGAATCTGGCTTTGCCGTGCAAGTGCCGCTGGAAGTCCTCGAAGCTTGAGCTGCTGGTCAGGGGAGAGAACCTGGAGGAAGCCACCATAAACACATGCACTTTCCGCGTGGATTTCTTGGATCTACGCTGGACCCTCTTCCCTAGCGCCTGGAGCGCGCCAAAGGTGGCGCCAGAGGCGGCGCCATGAGGTCACAGTTCCAAGGAATCCGAGCAGACCGTCGTGCATTACGTTTACAGAATGCTTTTCTTCTTCGAGAGCCACTCTGGGTACTTCGCCACGCCCGTCTGCATCGACCACATCACCTTCACGAAGCACTCGTCGCCCTCGACGGGCACGTGGCAGCTCTCCGATACTGGCAGCGGTGCAGGGGACACCCTCTGCTCCGACTCTGGGACGTGCAGCACCGGCGCTGCACAAGGGTCGGGGCACACGTCAGAGAGCCCAACTACGCCGTGCATATGCCGCTGGAAGTCCTGAAAGCTGGAGTTCTCGGTTAAGTTCCCAAAAGTGTACGCTTCCGGGTGCTCCACGAAATCCGTTCGCATCGCCCACGTCACCATCTCGTAACACGCTTCGCCCTCGACTGACGTGTGGCAGTCGTTCATTGCCTGCAACTCGGTGCACACGCAGCGAATGAAAGCACACGCCACATGAACAAATAACGTTGTACGTAAAGATTGACTTGGTCGAAAGACCGTGTTCATAACACTTCAATAAGTTGAACACTAAAGCAGTGTACCTGTATGGATGTTGTGTGTATATATGACGAGTAATGCTACAGCGGCTGCGGCGCCAGGAGGGATGAGGAAAAACGGACAGACCTGCAACTACGTTTGCCCAGTTGCTGACACGTGTGTGTGCACATGTGCACACGGGTACACAGTCACGTTTCCACTCAAAACCATCAGCATCACCATCATCACGCTACATGCGTACACCACCTACATATCCATGTTTCGCAGCGCGGGCCCAACACAGTATGTCTCTAGCAATCTACGTTGTGCAATTTATGTGGGGAAATGTGTGAGGTCCACTTGGTTGTTACTTTTCCGCACAAACGAATTCACACGTTCGATACTTTTGCAGACATCCCACCCACCAGCCCGCAATTTGGTTTGCAAAACCCATGCGGCGGCGATTGCGATGAGTGGTTGGCGTTGGTTGGTGCATCTCTGCGGCCGCGCTAACCCGCGCATGCTCGCGCGCACAGGCCAGCCAATTTGGCGCGACCGACGCGGCCGCGGTGGCGCTGGCCGCTGGGAACTTCCCAAGGGCAGCTCAATGCGAGTCGATGACTTGGGCGGGCGCGGTATCATGGCGACGCCGACAACGGTAGACACGATTACATGTGACAGTAGCGATGATGGTGACGATGGTGGCGATGAAGACGGCAAGGGTGATGACGGTGCCGATATTGGTCGCGCCCGCCGATGAAGATGACGATGTCCTCGAGTCGGCGATGAGGGTTTTTGAAAAGTTCGACATGCGCGCGCTGCCGACGCGGGCGAATGGCCCGCGTGGTATTATTTGATACGGATCGTGCCTCCCCCCCCAGCACGCGCGCAAAGGCGCCTGAATGAATTCGACATGCGGCGCGAGAGGCCCGTTTGACAAAAATTGATAAACACTTGAACAACCATGGGTTTCTCAAGAATCCGCAAGGCCGCGAACGCAGACTCTTTCTGAAAACTGATGTTGCAAAGCAATGTGTTTGTGTGTTCGGGACGCTCGTTTTGAAATCCTATGATTTGTTTGGAAGATTTCGGCGTGCGCGCGTGACGACGCGCGCGCGCGTGCACGTCGCTCCATTTGTTGTCACGGGTTTTCGCGACGGCACGCGCGCAGGTGCGGCCGAACGATTTCGACATGCGCGCGCGAGGAGGCGCGTTTGGTAGAATGTCATGAATCAGTTGCAAAAGCGGATGGTTTTCCCTAAGAATTCGCAAGAGCGCGGGAACAAGTTGTGTTGTTAGCCAGTGTTGCGGAAAAACAAACGGGTTTACGTATGTCTTCATGACTCTTGATTGTAAATGCCCTGCGAAACCTGAGGCGGTGGAAAGCTTCCGGCGTGCGCGTGCGACGACGCGCGCGCACTTCGTCCGGTCTGTTGCAAGGGATCTTGAAAACGGATGATTTGTAATAAACAAACGCGCACGCAAAATATTTTCTGCGCCAAATGAGGGGGGATGCCCGGCCTGGCTGGGATGGTATGAATTCATGTGTAGTAAAGATGGTGGGGTAGAGCCACATGCACGTTGCAAAAAATACCCCGTTAACCCCTGGAAAGGGGTGGGGATCTGAATAAAGGTCTTTTAGAAGGGAGAGTATTTGCTTGATGCAATACGTGGTTCATTCGAGGTGGGGGCATGCAATTTATGCGGTGCAATCTACTAGGTGCAATTGACTACCCTGCACCGCGTTTGACCACCTCCACTGCTCGCGCAAACAGCCCACCCACCCACCCGGAACTTGGTTTGCAAAATCTCTTAAGACCGTGACGGTGGGTACCAAATGGCACTTGGCAACGACAGCGAAGCCGACGACGACTGCGACAACGACGACGACTACGTCGCCGACAACGACTACGACGACACCGACGACGTCTCCAACGACTTCGACGACGCCGACAATGACGCCGACGACGACGACGACACCGACGACGACGACGACGTCGACGCCGACGACGACGATGACAACGACGACGACGATGACGACGCCGACGACGCCGACGACGACGTCAACGACGCCGACGACGACGACGACCACGACGACGGCGGCGACGACGACGCCGCCGACGTCGACGACGATGAAGACGACGACGACGCCGACGCCGGCGACGACGACGAAGACGACGACGACGTCGCCAACGAAGACGACGACGAGGGAGGAGGGAGGACAACGACGGCGACAACGACGACAACGACGACAACGACGAGGGAGGCGGGAGGACGGCGACGACGCGAACGACGAAGGAGGAAGAACGGCGACGCCGACGACGACAACGACGCGGGAGGAGGGAGGACGGCGACGACGACTACGGCAACGACGACGACGACGACGACGACGGCGACGAAATAGCAGGGACGACGACGAGACGCCGACGACGGACGACGACGACGAGGAGGGAGGAGGAGGAAGAACGACCACGGTGACAACGACGACAGAAACGACCACGACGCCAAAGAGGACGACGACGACGAACACGAGGAAAGACAGAGGACGACGTAGGCGACGACGACGACGACGCGGGAGGAGGGAGGACGGCGACGACGACGACGACAACGACGACGACGCAAGAGCGCGCGCGCACGCTTTTGTTGAAAATCCGTGTTGCGAAATCTTTTGTTTTTGTAGATTTTTTGGACATGCGATGTTGAATTCCTTCCGAAGCCGGTGGGTTTTGAAGGACTTCGGCATACGCGCGCGACGACGCGCGCGTCTGCACTTCGTCCCGTTTTTTGCAAAGGATTCTCGCGACGGCACACGCGCAAGGGCGTTCGACAGATTTCGACATGCGCGCGCGCGAAGCCCGTTTGGTAGCATTTTGTGAAAATCTTGAATTATCCCGGCAACGCAACCTAACAGCGATGTGTATCAGCATATCTGGAAGCATTCCCCTCAAGATTCAGGTGAGAATCCAGTTGTAGAATTCTGCTGTCCTCGCAGCCGCAGTCGCATTCGCAATGACAGTCGCAGTGGCAACGGCCTCAGGATCCAATGGAATCCTAAGGATTCCTAGGGATTCCCAAGGCATCCTTAGGCATCCTTAGGAATCCATAGGAATCCTTAGGGAACCTTAGGAATCCTGATTCCTAGAGATTCCTAGGAATTCCGAAGGATTCCTGAGGAATCCTAAGGATTCCTAAGGATTCCTGAGGATGCTTAACTATGCCTACGGATTCCTAAGGATGCCTACGGATTCCTAAGTATTCCTAGGGATTCCGAAGGATTCCTATGGATTCCTACGGATGCCTCAGCCTGCCTCAGTTTCAGCCTCAGCCTCAGCCTGCCTCGGCTTGCCTCAGCCTCAGCCTCAGCCTGCCTCGGCCTCAGCCTCAGCCTGCCTCAGCCTGCCTCAGCCTCAGTCTCCGCCTGCCTCGGCCTCAGCCTGCGTCAGCCTCAGCCTCAGCCTGCCTCAGCCTCAGCCTGCCTCAGCCTCAGCCTCAGCCTCAGCCTCAGCCTGCCTCGGCGTGCCTCAACCTCAGCCTCAGCCTGCCTCGGCCTCAGCCTGCCTCGGCCTCAGCCTGCCTCAGCCTCCCCTCCTCCCCCCCCCCATTCCCCCTCCCCCCATTCAGCCTGACCTTGTCTCAGCTTCGGCCTGCCTCGGCCTCAGCCTCAGCCTCAGCCTCAGCCTCAGTCTCAGCCTCAGCCTGTCTCGGCCTGAGCCTGTCTCGGCCTCAGCCTCAGCCTGCCTCAGCCTCAGCCTGCCTCAGCCTCAGCCTCAGCCTCAGCCTCAGCCTGTCTCAGCCTCAGCCTGCCTCAGCCTCAGCCTGCTTCAGCCTCAGCCTCAGCCTCAGCCTCAGCCGCAGCTTGCCTCAGCTTCAGCCACAGCTTCAGCCACAGCTTCAGCCTGAGCCTGCCTCAGCTTCAGCCTCAGCCTCTCAGCCTCAGCCTGCATCAGCCTCAGCCTCAGCCTCAGCCTGCCTCAGCCTCAGTCTCAGCCTCAGTCTCAGCCTGCCTCAGCCTCAGCCTGCCTCAGCCTCAGCCTCAGCCTGCCTCGGCCTCAGCCTCAGCCTGCCTCAGCCTCAGCCTGCTTCAGCCTCAATCTCAGCCTGCCTCGGCGTGCCTCAGCCTCAGCCTCAGCCTGCCTTGGCCTCAGCCTGCCTCAGCTCGGGCATTCAAAATGTGGCACAGGACTGGTGTTCTGGGAACACGAAGATCACGAAGTGGCCCACACTTGGCTGTTGGCTCCGGGCAATCAAAATGTGGCCTGGGAGTGGTGTTCTGGGAACA